TTCATTAAACTATACTTCCTTTGTCATTTCTCTTTTGATAGCAGCATGATTTAATTCAAAGATAAGGTTTCCAAAACATCTCTACAAGAAGAAATTCTACTGTTCCTGGGCAGAGGTGGTATTCAGTAGGTTCTGAACAGTTCTGGAGAACTGGTAGTGGAAATTTGAGTAGTTTGGAGAACTGGAAAATTCCACCTCTGACTCAAGATTTTACAGTATTCTTCCCCTGCCACGCCCACCAAGCCACACCCACAGAACCAGTAGTAAAACAATTTGAACCTACCACTGTTCCTGGGGGAAAACAGTTTCAGGTGAATCCAAAACTCTTTTCAAATATAGCTGACAGAATGGTTCAAAGCCATAACTTACTAACAAAGCACTAATAAAATCAGATTTACCAGTATTATCAAGAAAGACTTTCTTGTACAAAGCAATGATCTATGTAACATAAATGAAAATCTGAGCCCTGCAACTTAAACATTGAAGGGAAAAGTTCTAGCATCTAAACCAACATCAAGAGGCTTGCAAGTGAGCATAGATATGAAACTAGGATCAAATCGCAAGCAACCTTCCTTCTAGGCTGATTTTTTTTGTACTAAATTTGAGTGATTCTAATTAAAGACGATAATATTCTCTAGAAACCATTATCAGATTGAAATAATTATCCAAGCTCTGGAAAACTGCTACTGGTTATTACAAGGTATTCCTGGAGTAAAGTTTAAATTTAAATTGGTACCAGTATTAGTTGGGGCAGTATTTTCCAGATGCTATCAGTTTTATTTTATTGGATATTTCTTATTTTTTCCAAAGAAAGATTTAATATAGTGCACAATATAATTTTACAAATTAGTTAGCAAAGTAATTTATAGGTAATACAGATTAGAGCCCTGTATGGAAAAGGAGATGCCAAATGTTTATGCTGGTTTTAGAAAGGGCCAAAGAGCAAAAGACATTACTGCTGATGCATGTTGGATGACTGAGAAAGCCATATAAACCCCAAAAGAAAATAGATACTTTAATGATTATAAAAAGGTTTTACATTGAATTAGGAATGTGCTTAGGACAAGGGTCTTCAAACTTGGCAAGTTTAAGACTTGTGTACTTCAACTCCCAGAATTCCTGAGGTAACAAGACTGGAGGAGGAATTCTGGGAATTGAAGTCCACAAGTCTAAAAGCTGTCAGGTTTGAAGACCTCTGGCTTAGGAGAATGGAAACAGCAAGGGTCACCCATATGTTTGTTCCACAGAGAATTTCTCTGAAAAGAGATTCAGTGATCTCCAGTGGATCTGAGAATTTTGGGAGGGGGGAAGAGGAGATCATTTTGCCTAAGCCATGTTTCAGTGTCTCCATATTGGACACTTGGTTTACTCACTTCCTCTTTTAACTATTTATAAGGAAGCTGTTTATCATTAAACCAACCTGTAGGGCAATATTTCATGGGATTAATTATCAAGAAAAGTAAACAAAAGGAATTTAAAGTGGACTTATTTGGTCAAGGCTAATGTATATGTTGTGGTTTCTGATAGCTATTATTGGGTTGTTGTTGTTTTTTACCAGGATTGAATGACTAGGCTTTAAAGATCAATTTATAAGTGGGGAGAGAATTGTTGCTTCATTTTTTTTTAGAGAAAGTGATAAATTGAAATACAAAATGGATTAAAATATACGTTTGCTCTTAATAGTCTTTGGCTGATTAGAACTAAATGATGAGTTTTTATCACTTGATTATTGATAAAAGAAGAAGACCTTTTTATACTGAAATATTAGAGAAAGTGGTTTATACTTGTCTGGGAGGAAGGGAGATTCCTTATAACTGGAGATACTAGCAATGGAACGTTCAAAGGGCAGAGTACATGTAAAAAGCTATTGTTTTTCAAACAAACAGGAGACTCTTTTCTTGGAGTAAAAGGGAAATGTTAGCAAACTGCAAAACTGTTGATCTACCTCTCATTAGAAAGGCAGGTAATAATTCTCTAAATTACTAGCATTGCTGAACATCCAGTCTCTTGTTGCTGTGGTTGGACACAGTCTGATTCTTTCATTAGAATGAAATTATGTCCAGTTTGAGCAAGATCACATGTTTTATCAAATCACATTTCAATAGATACAACTTATTCTCTTCCATGCCTGCCTCCTTTTCCACTACTGAGGAAGTAAAAATAGTCACTCCGATTTAGGGAAGTTTGCTGTTCTATACCTTATGTCTAAAATTCTAAACAAAGGTATCTCATGTGGTTTACAATGCAGTCAAAGCCTATAAAGCAAGATTATGAACAAAATTATGAACCAAAAAGTAAAAGAAGCCACAGAGGTCAAAAATAGAGAATATTAATATGAATGATTTGTCCCCGCCATGTTTCAGTCATAAAAACAGATCAATACAGCACTGAAATGAACCTGAATTTTCAACTAGATCAGTTACACTCAAGTAGTTCCTCATATTGGAAAGAAATTTGATTTTAACATATGTTTAGAAGCATAGTTATGCTTTGTATAAAATATACAAAGAAGATAAGGAAAGAATGTTCAAGCCTGCCATGCTGCAACATGTGAACACAAGACCTAATTTCAAAGATTGCTCTGCTAAAAATGATAAATTTTTGAATAAAGACTAATTCTAAAGGTGTAGACCTATAGTATCCTGACACTTGGAAAATATAGGAAGAGATTTTTTTGATTTTTGTACACTGATTACTATTGCTGTATGGCTTAAGGTAATTTGCCTTATTTTCCTAAGAAACATATTTTTACTGAATATTAGATTACTTAGTGAAAATTCAGCATTAAATAAAACTTTGATATCTTAATAAAATAAAATATGTTAATAAAATATGTTCTGCTTACAGACAAATAATTGATACAGTAAAACAAAGGAAAAAAAGGGAGAAAACAATACCTTATTTATTTAGTAAAATTATTTTTACCTATTAAGAAAGAGCAATAACAAAAATATACCTATACCAAATATACTCTTTTCATTCATTACAAATTTAATTAATTTGTTAATTAATATGCACTATTCATATATAGGGGATCATATTGTGAGAATCATTGGCTCAGAGTTTCTAAACTCTGGGGTCAGGTTCAACCATTACAAAAAATTCTGGCAAAAATATGGCTAATTGCAGCAGTTCGTTTTCAATCAGGATGAAGGTTTTCTAAGCCAACTATTTACATAAGCATCCCAAAAGAGCCCAAAAAAACATTTCAAGTTTGAGAAATTTTAGATTTTCTCTTACCAGCTCACTCAAACATGACACTGATTGAATCCCATGTTACGTAGCCTATAAGGGGCCTTTCTCTAAGTATCCAGAGCTCAGAGAGTAACATGGCCAGTTCACATTTTCATATTTAAAAGAATATAGAAATTTTTTCATCATCGTACGGCGAATGTAACAGGCTTATGATTTGGTGGCTTATATTCTTAAATTGTTGGATAAATGCAATTACAGTTTCTAAAATCAGGGAGCAGTGTTGAGGAAGAGAAAAATTGAGGAAACTTCTTCAAACTTTGGAGATTTTGCATTGTATGAATTAGGGCATGACTGCTAAAAATATCACATATCAGAGTAAAGGTGTTCATTTAAGCACAGGCATATATATTATTATTTTCTGTATTGCTTTTTGTTTTCTTCTAAGGAACATTTGAACAAAATGCTTTGATGTTCCCTATAGTTTTCAAATGGATATGGGTGTTAATGTGAAGGCAATAAAACAAATAAACGTAGAGTTGCTTGCTGAAATACCTGACATGTACAGATAGATAGATTACTTACTGGAAATCTCTGTTTTTGAACAGGAACCATGTTGTCAGTATTATTATATGTGAAATAGGAACCTCTATTCCCCAAACCTTACAATAAGTGGCATTGCATCAAGGTGCGAATTTAGAACATACAAGCTGAAAGAGCACCGCTGAAGGAAACTAAAGGCCCATTAAATCTTGCATAAATGAATAGAATATGTTTTTATTATGATCAATGATCCATTCACATCTTAAAGTGGCATAAAACAGAGGAAAAGTAGCAATTATATTCCCACATTGAACTTTTGCAATATCTGCTCTATTTGTGGTGTTGGATTAATACAGTATAGTTACTGTGGACTAATTTGCAATATGATGAAGACAGTTATGGAAACATCACAATTTACAAAAATAGGTCTATGAATATGTATGCATATATGTATGTATGTATGTATGTTTCTATTACTCTTACATGCTACCAAAAATTTCAGGGGTACCAGAATGCTGAGATTGAATTACAGTAAGGAGAGAAAATAGATAAGACTTTCAGAAGATTGCAATGATGACAAAGCTCTAAGGCAAAGTAGCCACACTTTAATGCTTTGTGGTGAAGAGAATATCTCTTAAGTAATAACTAATATACCAACATTTTAGATGTTGGAAATACATACATATATAAACCCAACTTTTCTGGATACTATATTTTGATATCAGTATCACGGGTGAGATTTGTATAGTACTAAGAAAAGAAAATTTCCTGCCAATAAATACCATAGATATTTTCCTAAATATCTGAAACCAGCCATTTTTAAAAAGTGTAACCTTCAACTTTTTTTTTTTGCTAGGATAAGAATCCTCCCTTTTCTATGCTACATTGATGTCCAACTCAAATTTTCTAAATTATCCTTGGTGGAAAATATTCCTAACTAGTTTCCTTTTTCTAATGCACTTTTGACATTATTTGCTGCACCTGTTTAGGTGGGGAACCACACTCCACAAGCTGAAGTTGCTGTAACTGAAGAATAATTAAAACTATATGAATTAATATAATGATTCTCCATGTGTTTTGCTCCCTCTCCTGAGGGAAGGTGCAAGCAATTCAGATTGTGGCATTCTTATAAAGTTGGTCCCCTCCCCCCCCCCCACACACACCCAGTATTAGTTAAGCAAATCCTCCTAATGTGAAGATATCTGAGACTCCATGTGTAATCTGGAGATGTTTTTTTCTAAAATCTTTCAAAATGATAGGCTGACCTGTATAGTTGGGTAGGCAAAGGCAAGCGTAATTGTTTATTCCATCCATACAAGTTGAGTTGTTCTCACAATCATTATCTTCACAGTCATCTGGATTCAGTTCACATTTCTTCCCTTCAAATCCAGTAGGGCAGGAACAGCTTTTAACATAGGAATAAAGGAGATATGGGCATTAACTGGCATGTTGGGGCTAAACTGACTTAGAAACAGGAACTGCGTATACAATCACACATACAAATAAGTGGGGAAGCCTCTGAAAATTAAGGGATACTAAATTAGAAAGTTTATGCAGATTCTAACTTCAGCACATAAGCAAAAGTTTCTCAGGCTGAGTTAGTTTTTCATAATTTAATATTTACATTTTATCACAGAAATTAAATCTGAGGAGCAGGACTGTAAAAAAAAGGGATAAGAAGATACCATTAAAGAAGAATAGTGGATCATTTAATTAAAACACATAGCTACATCTGGGATTGCCCAGATCTTTTCAATTCTGCCATATGATGCAGTTTAGCAATTCAATGGGCAGATGACAAGTCCGGATGCATACAGATGGCAGATCAGCTTCAGTGAATTTTGTAGTTCATTCCAGATTCATGCTTCACAATTCTGGCAGTACACATAATTGCAGATATGTCCAATTGTTTTTTTCTGGATACCCAATAAGAAGGCCAATTCATGCCTTAGCAGTAAATCTTCCCTGGATTATGTAACTTTATGCATCAAGGCTATATGTATGTGTTCTGTTACATTTTATTGCTCTATTACACATACCCACACAGCTACAGCCACACACATCACACACACACAAACACACACACAAACAATATCCATAGTGTTTAGAAGTAAACATGTATACAGTAGAAATAGCAGGAATAGGTTTTTTTCTGGGTCAAAACTAAATTGGAGAATACTGCTAAGGTGCGATAAGCATGACTTGACCAAAGCCATATTTATAAATTTAACAATCTGGCATTATTTATATAATAATGTCAGTAGTGCTGAACTTTACTGATGAATTTAAAGGTACTAAATATTCTGATGATAATCACTTCTGAAAACACCAATTTCCCTTTTATAATTTTGTTTTGAAAACATATATACTGCAAAATGAAGAAGAAATACAATACCACACATATAACCATGAAATATTGTAAGGCCTGGGTGGAAAACTATGTTTAAGCCCCTGTTGTACCATAACAAGAAAGAAATTTGCTTTGACTTCAGTCACCATTGCTTCCATAATATGGGATCCAATCCAGAAAAAAGAAATTAGTTATTGGCAGGATCTGCAAAAGGTACCATGCTTGTTGAGAAGGACTATGTGGAAGAGGAAGTCCTCTAAATACTTTAGGCCTAAGCTATATAAGTCTTTATATATAATTGTATGTATACTGCATTGAGCTCAGAAGACAATAAACAGTTAGTGAAACTGCTTCAACAGGGACATACTGTATATAGGATTTCCAAGAGACATTGCCTATTTTTTGGTGCTGCTCTTTCCAATTTGCACAATAGCTTCAAATGCTGTTCCAAGAAAAGCATGTTACAGTAACACAATTCTCAAGTTTTAGCACAAAGGACAGGAACTTTTCCCCAGGAGGGATGCCCCATGATTAGGTGGCTGTTCAACATTAGTGATGGATTAGGAAGACCTTCCCCCTGCTGAAAATGTGTGACTTTATTTCTTCATGTTCATGTTTGGGGGGTTTTTTGGTCAAATTTCCCATCTTCATTCTTCATTTTGTTTTATTTTTTCTGTTATATTGTTTTTAATGCATTTTTATCTGTAATTGCCTTGGGAGTCAGAAATCATAGCTATTTAAATTACAACAAAATACTTAAGAGAAAATTGAAACCTTGTCTGTCGACTCCTAAAGTCAAGCCCCCAACAGCAGTAAAAGTTCTGCCTTCTCCATGTTTAGTTTGGATTGTTATTTCACATTTGCTCCTTCACTGGAGACCCCCAGAGGCCTGGGAGATGTGCAGTCCCAGTTTTACAGAAAAAGAATGAGAGAACATGATCTAAGAATGAAAACTGGTAAGGTGAGAATCTGTGATTCCCACCCTAGAGAAGTTATTACGCTGTTATGAATCAACTACCTATGCAGGCTGCCTTGTATCCATTGATTCAAGTAGAAAATCTGAAGAATTATACATTTTAAACTCTGGATCCCAAACATAGTTACATTTTTTTTAGAGTGAAATGGCCAATGATTCATTGTTGAGGATTATTATCAGTAAATAAAGGTACTGATCTACCTGGAAGTGCATCTCCTGCCAATGAAGGGTTGAATTAGAGACCTTTGAACCCTGGTATGAGGTCTGATAACTTGACAGACTTTCCTACAGCCTTTACTATAGCAAGTGAATCTGATACCTAGGGATCATGAATGTAGACTCTCTAGGGATTCTACTATCAATTAAGGTGCTAGTCTCTTGCTCTAGTTCCAAAACCAAGCAAGTAAAAAAAAATTGTAAACAAGAAGCAGATGGCAGAAATCTTCAAGGTTGGGAAATAAGCATCCATATAGCCACTGATTCAAATAGGCAGAAGGAAGAAGATTCATATTTTGGAATTAAAGGGAAAGATTCCTAGATGTTGTGAAGTGAGAACTTTTAAGTATGACTCCCTAATTCTCTACAGTAAATCAAGTTACCTAACTTTCTTGAGTCTACTTGGGAATATGGAACAGGAAACACCTAATCATTGTCCCTGGGAGACTTCGCATGGATAGCCCAACAATGAGGATGAATCAATCACAATCAACGATCCCTCCCCCCATTACCAGTCTGCCAAAGATTCTGAGGTCATTGTGGAAGCAACTGCAAGAGTTGCAATCCTCCAATACTAAGTATTTCCTTTCCTCATCAGTATGGGAATCTGATCAAATTTACTGACTTCCTCACTCAATATGAATTATACTTCTTCCTAAATTCAAATTATTTTCTTATCAAGTGAACCACCATGGGATTTATAATTAGCCTAATGACTGAGATATGTGTAACAACCCAGTACAGTTCAGATCTAGCTGGTGCAACTAGAACATTTCATGGTATACCTGAGAACTAACTTTAAAGATCTTGTCAAGCAAGTGACTTGAGACTGTGAAAACCATTGCCTATGACAAGTGAAGATTTAGAGAGGAAATATATCGATGAGATAGCTATTAGTTCAGGATCTCAGAACTAATAGAATGAAAGGGGCTGAACTGACTACCAGACAAAATAGAGGAGACAGTCATTTATCAAGGCACCTGATTAACTTTGACAGCATTAATCCAGGTCAGCTTGAACATAAACAAAAGAGTAAAGAATTTCAGCAGAATATTAGAATATGTTAGTGGGAAGAGTAGACATCATTATTGTCTTTCATTCCCTCTATCTCCACACAGACTTTCTCTAACCCTGAATATCAGAAAAAGAAAGCACTGTACATACAATATACTATACAATATCTTCCAACAAAATGGATATCTTTGCAACTTCACCAAAAAGTGCCTGACCACTCAGTCCAATATAGCACAACTAGCAGAAGCTCTGAAGGGGATTAGCAGCTTAAAGCAATTTATCACAAAATTTACAAGTTACTTTCCCTACCTTCTTTCCAGCCTGTACTGCTAACATTTTTGTTAAGATGGTGGTTTCCTATCTCCATTCCACAGAACTATGCAATCCTTAGATGTCACTACACTCATCCCTTCATTTCTTAACTCTTAGAATGGTTGTGGAAGACATGCATTTTTACCAAATTGGATCTCAGAGGGCTCTATGGTCTTATTTTTCATGAAAGAGAAACATTAATAATTAACTGCTTTTGACTCTCACTATGGGAATCCTGAATATATGATAATGTTGTTCAAGTTGGTGTGCAACCTCTTGGTCTTTCAAAGATTTATGAATAATATTTTAAATGACTTTTGGACAAGATTTTACCTATCACTTTAGATGAGTTGCTGATTTATTCAAAAGATCCTACACAACTCAGTTTTGCCAATTCAACCAAAATGTATAGTTGGGTCACTTTTGTGACTTAGCTCCATATTAAGATAGAGAAATATTCTTTTTGATTTGCCTTTATTTGACTATTGGAACTCTATCAGCTAAGATAGGATTCATCATCTCTTGGAGTCACTCTATAGTATTTTGCCTAAATTTACCATAAATTAATTCTTAATCTTACTGCACCTTTTTCACCTAAACCTCAACATTTCCTTACTTGAACACGCATTCACTTCTCAACCCAATTTTCATCCTCCATATCCTACCTTTCTCTCTCTTATATAGACTGTGTCGTCCCCCCCCCCCCCCGAGAACTGTGTTTCTACAATCCATACCAGATTTTGAGCACAGCACATTTTCCAGGAATCTCCTGGAACTGAAGGGATCAATAATGACCAAACCAAGATCTTCACGCTACTAAGGTCCCTGTACTCAAGTAAGCTTCCCTAAAGGTTTCTTAGGCTTTTGCAGATGTCAGCTCATGAGTTATCTTAACCAGCACTTATATTTTTAGATGGGAACCATTAATCCCAAAGTTGATTTATGTAGACCTCTGCTTTAATGTGTATTTTCATTGCAAGAAGAAAATCTAACCTGTTTATTGAAATAAAATGATTAACATTTGACATCATTACTGATCATCATTTATTACAAGACTATATAAGACTGTGCTCTTCTTAATTGGCAGGACCTTATATTATGTCTCCAGTGCTGTTCAGATAAACTTGGCTGAAGTAGGTTGTGTGGTCTTCACTTGTCTGTTGGGTAATGGAGAATTTTCCCTTCATTAAAAAAAGGAAGAAATTCTCTGAATAATCAATATAACTGAATAAAAAAGGCAACAATAATTGCAAAATAAAAACAAGCAACTGTATGGAAGTTACTCCTGCTAAGTCAGGCACTTTTGATTATCTCTTACTGAACTGGCAAGGCAATCCACTTCTCACCTTAGCAAAAGGAACAAGTCACTCCTCCCTCCGCCTTTTTTTAGGAGAATAAGTTCAGTGAGGTGGATAGCTGTGCAGCAGAACAAAGCAATGCTTTACCGAAGCATAATTTTTTTTAAAGTGCCATAAAATGATGTGAAAGGATTATACAGAAGAGCTGCTTGCACTATTCATCTTACAGTGATTGCTCA